TTGCAGGAGGCGTGCGAGGCCTATCTGGTGGGGCTCTTTGAGGACACCAACCTGTGCGCCATCCACGCCAAGCGTGTTACCATCATGCCCAAGGACATCCAGCTGGCCCGCCGCATCCGCGGGGAGAGGGCGTAAGATTTTAGTTTGTAACTCCACAATTAAAAGGCTCTTTTCAGAGCCACCCACTTCTTCCTTGAAAGAAGCTGTACTCCGTGTAGCCGGTAGGGGTCTGGGAACTACAAATGTTAAAGACAAAATCTGCACCACCACAGCTGTGTACTCTTAAACAAGCGGACAGGTTAGGTCTTAAATTTCCGGTTTGTGGTAAGTGGATTGCCTGCGGGGTGGTTGCACTTTGAAATGCCCAGTTTGGTTTTTTGTCAGGTGGTTGAGAAGGAGTAATCAACTGTGGATGTTTTGTTACAACCTATTAGCATGTTTATTTTCTACCTCAGATTTGATCACTCAGTCATGATTTCTAGTCAGAACCAGATCCCTGATCGTTTCCACACTCTTTGCTATTCAAATTGTGTTTACCTATCGTTTTACCTGGGAGCTTACTACAAATGTAGAATTTCAGGCCTACGGAAGCACTCTGCATTGCACCAAGCTCACCTCAGGTGATTCTTACGAACACTATAGCCTAAGAAACGTTTTATTATTTTTATAGTGTTTTTGAAGTCTCATCAAGAAAAACAGCCTGCCTATAAACTCTTAGCAGGAGTATTTTTGCAAAGTATGCGTATGTAACAGAATGCAATGTTCACTAAAGCAAGTGCACATCGCAGGGATAACCTAAGATAGTTTAATTTCACTATAGATGAGTGGTCTTCTCTACGTTGACTGCACATGTTCCAGCCACTTCGGTAGCTTTTATAAAAATACCTTTGCCTGGGGTAAAATTAGGACCAGTTTAATCAAAGCATAGGGGTGGGCCCAGGCAATAGTAGTTTTTAAAACTCATGTGTTTCTAGTATGCAGCTACGCCAAGATTCGGTGCTGCATAAATTATAAACCTATGACTAATTCCTGTTTGATTCCAGACTTATAAGCAGTTTTCTAATCAAATCAGGCTTTCCTTGTAGTTTGCCTTCAGAGAGAATATACTGATCTCCAAGAGAGGACTTTCTTGCTTGCTTGACAATTGTTTATCTCAGTACAATGAATCAATCAAATGGTTCCTGACTTGTATAGCAAGTTCTGAGGGCAGAGCTAGTGGGAGTCTATCCTGAGAGATGGAGCTGCTTGTAGTGACTGACAATATCAGGTTTTCAGGGCTGCTGTAAGGAGGACCAGGCAACACCCTGGTCTTTCTCTATTGCCTTTTTTTTTTCATGCAATGTATGGATATCTTTTTTCCAGATACTGTTTTTATTTTTTATAACTTTTTTATCATGAGACATTCAGAATATATGAAAGTAGAGATAATAGTATGCTAAACCTTATACACTACTCACCCAGCTTCAAAATCAACAACACTGGCCAAATATGTTTTATCTATATCCCTTTTACTTCAAAGCAAATCATATGACTTCATCTCTCAAAATTTATATACACATCTATCACTTTAAAACCTAGTTATGATACCATCATTATTCCTCCAACAAACAACAGTACTTCTTTACTATCAATGAATTTTAAAAGTTATTTATTCCACATATATTTGTTGAGAGTTTACAATGTGCCAGACACTTCTGAGCACTCAGAATACACTGGAGAACAAAAAAGATAAAATTCTCTGCTTTCTTTGAATTTACATTTGATTCTGGGATACACAGGCAATAAAGCAGATAAATAACACATGTGCTGTTAGATGCTGCGAAAGCAAAAAATAGAGCAAGAATAAGGAGTGTCATGGGAAGTTGAAATTTAGATAAGGTAACCAATGAAGACCACACTAAGGAGATACCATTTCAGCAAAGGCCTGAAAGAAATGAAGATACCCACATCTTATGGGGATATATGTAGGGAGAAGAGGGGAGAGAGTGCTGAGGTGCCAGGGTAGCTATATGGAATGAGCAGGGAACAACAGGAGGAGATGAAAGCAGGGAAGTAAAAGAAAGCCAGAACATGTAGGAGCTTGTAGACCACTCTAAGGAATTTGGCTTTTGCTCTGGGTGACATGGAAGGCCTTGGGGGGAGTTAAACACAGGGGTCTTTGTGTTCATTTCTCATTTAAGTAGGTTCTGCCTTATTTTTAGACATTCTCAGTTGTGTGCCAATAAGAAAATTAGGGCCCAGTGTTCTTGTTTTCTGCCTTTCAGACCTTGAAAATAGATGCTGACCTGGAGGTTTTCATAGACAGGGAAAAAAGGGAAAACCTTATATAACACTTCATTTTGGGTTAACCTTGGTTCATATTTTGGTAGTTAAGTTTATTAGTTTTATGGCCACTGGCAAATTCTTTAGCCTCAGAATTGCAAACCCAATGTCTTCAGGGATGAGGTAAGGGTTCCTTGTATTGGGAACAATGGTGAACTACCCAGCTTTGTTACACGGGATGATTCAATCAGTAATAAATCTTCTGGCTGAATTCAATCCCCTTGATTGTCAGTTGTAAGTTCCCTGTAGCACTTTCAGTCTTATGCCATTTGGCAAATAGAGGTGTTAATACCTGCCTTGGAAACTGCCTAGGTGGTTAAAGGAATCATGATTTCATTAGTTCAAAAATTTGTAATTTAGTGTCTACCATGCCGGCACTGTTCTAAGGGCTTTGTATGGATTATTTAATCCTTACTGTAACTCTATGGATTGGGAACCATTAATAGCCCTCCTACAAGGATGAAGACTCTGAAGCATAGTAAAGTGAACTACTTTACACTGGTGCTTATTTGGAGAATTGAGTCGTGGGCTCTATTCTGGAGCTAGAGAATGAATGGACATTGTGTATGACATGCATATTTTTATTTTACTTAATTAATCCATCCATACATCCATCCAGTCAACCAGCCAGCCAGCCATTCATTTCATCCATCCATCCATTCATCCATTCATCCATCCATCCATCCATCCATCCATCCATCCATTCAACAAATACTTTTTGAGTACTTAGTATGTACCTGGCATTCTTCTAGGTGCAGTGAATAAAGTAGGCAAAGCTCTTCTTTTGGAGTTTATTTACATTCTAGTTGTAGGAGACAGAAAATTAACAAAAACAAGCAAATATATTATGCCAGTAGGTAAACAGATAAAGACAACAAAGAAAATAGACTAAAGGGAATGAGGACTACCAGGGGATGGAGGGGTGATTGGTGGATAGTTGCAATTTTAAATATGGCGGTTGGGGAAGGCCTCACAACCAAGATAAGGCTAAGCAGAGGCCTGAAGCTTGTAAGAGAGTGAGATCTTCATACATCTGTAGGAAGATTATTCCACAGAGAAGAGGCAGTGATTGCACAGACCCTGAGTCAGGAGCATACCCAGCGTCATGGCCACAGTTCTGATAACCAACTCAATAAAACCAAGGTCCTCTGCTATTATTCCAAGCTGAAATTTTGAGGTAACTCAGCACTACTTTAAGTATTCTTAATATTTTTCAAAATTAATACTCCAGGTCCCTCAGGACACTCAGTTAAGTGGGAAACCAAGAAGTAGGAATAGATGAGTGCTTACCTACCCCAGAAAGAGTGGTCATTGTGATTCAAGGATATAAGTAGTTAGTTAGGGAATTGTATTAATTATGTGACGATTTATTTAAAATAAAAAAAAATAAGAGGTTTGAGTTTCTAAATTATCGTTATTATGTTGTACTTTTCAGAACAAAGAAAATCCAAACATGATATTTGTAAAAAGACTTCTATGTTGTAATATGTACATTTTTTGTGAATTCATTACATGGGGTACCTAAGGGCAAATAAAACTCCTCATCTGTTTGCCAAATGAACTCTATCTTAAAACTTCCATAGTGGTGATAATTTAATTGCCAGAACTATGATTGTTAAAATGAAGTTAAATCAGATAAAAAGTTAAAATTAACAACAACAACAAAAATTTATTTATGATGAAGATGATACATGTTCCCCAACAGCTGATCTTGAGCCCTGGCTAAATTTTGGCATAGAACTGAGAGATCACATCTCTTCAGAACCATTCATACTGGGTGAGACTGCAGACCAAATGTAGGTATGTTCATTATGACGTGTGGACTATCAAATACATTCATGTTTTCTAAGTGGTGTTTGAGGAAAGAACAAGAGTTTAGTATCCTTCGGGATTTGCCCAGATAACTCTGAGACTTTCAGGAGGCAATGTTAATTCCCTAGTGTCTCTATTTTCTTCATGAGCTTTTCTGATAATGTTCCAAGAAACAACATATTAGCCAAAAGTGTCTTGTCCTTATCATCACATCCAGCTCTGAAAGACCAATGGGCTGGGAACAGAGGTTACATTGTTGGTAGAAGCAAATATGGCTTCCTCTCCTCTGGTTAACACTTTGGAAAAATTCAACCACCTTTTGTTTTGTTTTTCTACGAGACATGAAGTGTTATCTTTCTTCTGTAGATAGAGTGTCTTGCCCTGAAGATTCATCAGGCAAGAAGTGACTAGAAACTAGGAATCTAGATCTGGCCTTGGTGGAGGGTATTTTAGTTAAGGTAATGCTTACTACTGAAACAGATGAACCACAGCACCTTGGTGACTTAACAGAATACAAGTTTATTTTCTGCTTATATGAGATCCAAATTGGGGGCTCTGGATCAGCAGGCAGCTCTTTTCCAAGCAGATTCAGGAACCCAGGCATCATTTATTTTGTGGGTCAACCATCTAAATACATGGTTTCCACATTTACCCTGGAAGGGGAAAGAGCAGGGAAAATCTCAAACCAGTTGCCGTGGAGTCAGCTCTGACTCATAGCAACCCCATGTGTGTCAGAGCAGAACTGGGCTCCACAGGGTTTTCAGTGGCTGAGGTTTCAGAAGTAGATCACCAAACTTTACTTCCAAGGCACCTCTGGGTGGACTCAAACCTCCAACCTCTCAGTTAGAGGCTGAGCTCATTGACAGTTTACACCACTTAGGGACTCTGGAAAATCCCTAGTGGGAAGTTATTATACCCCAGGCCTGGAAGTGTCAAACTTTACTTATATTCCATTGGCAGGAACTTAATTAAAAGGTCTCATCTAACTATAAGGGAGGCTGGGAAGTGTGGTCTAAATGTGGGCCTAGGAGGAAGAAAGAGGTGAGTCTCTACCTCGGAAAGTTTATAAAGTTTATCTGTGAAGAAATGGCATCGAAGAGTTAGTGCCATGCATCTTCCATTTTAGATATCCCCCCCTTCCTTGCTCTAATCCCCTTTCCAGAAAACTTGCTTATCTTTTAAAATCACTATCTTGAAGCCCCCTGTTCTTTTTTGGTAGTAGTAGAAAGAGCAATGAAGTAGAAATTAAAGATCTGGGTTAGGCCCATCTCTGAATAAATTAGAACAAATTACCTCACCACTCTGAGAGAGTTACTGTATTATCTCTACTTTGCAGATAAGGAAACAGGCTAAGAATGGTATGCTTAATTACTCAGACCACCCAGCCAGTAAATAATAAAACAAATTTGGACCCAGGTCGTGGGCCTCAAAACTCTCCAATTTTAAGCATACCCCATAATGTTTTATAGTTGTTCATATCCATGTCCGGGTCACCTTTATGGTTTGACTGAATGACAGGCACAGCTGAGTGAGGAGGGCATTTCAGGTGTGGAAGGCTTTGAGGAACATGGAAGGGCATTTTGAAGGGAAAGAGTCAAGCTGTTTAGAGCAAAAGTCACCTGTGGGGAAGTAGGATAAGGCTGAATCTTATAGGGGTGGTGTATAGAAAACGTTGATGTCTCCTAGATGAGTTGAAAAAATCTAGAAATATAGACAATAAGACTGAAACAGGTTGGGGCTTGTAAAACAGATTGTTGAGCCTGGAATTGATATTAAAAACAGTATAGTACCACTGGACTCCACACTCAGCCTGACCTCATTCATAGTAGGCAATTAGTTTGAACATGTAGGCCTTCCTCCACTTATCAAGGTGTTTTCCTGATTTCCCAAGCCCTATTCTGATTACACACGGCTACATTTGGACTCCCAGTGGTGTCAAGCATTGTTCGCCTCAGAATGAAAATTTGATTCTAGTTAGAGTTGTATTGCTTTTGTATCTTTCCAAGTGAAAAATTCTTGCCAGTATTTCTAATTTATTTATTTTCTGCTGGGAAGCTCCAGTGTCCTCCTGAAGATGTAAGAACTCACCAATTTGACTCTAAGAGATACTGTCTCTTGTTTCACTTATACTCTGTTTTCAGGCATGAGTTTTGGTAGACACCACTGCATAGTTCCCTCCTGATACTGGTTTTCTTTTCTTATTCAGTAATTAAACTCCTAAACTTCCTTTGCAGCCAGGTATGGCCATTGACTATTTTTGGTCAGCGGCATATCAGCAAAAGGGGGTTATACTATCCCAGAGTTTCTATAAATGGTGGGAGTACTCCCCACTTGCCCTTTTCTCCTTACTTTAGGATCGAATGTGGATATGACAGCTGTTGCTAGAGCAGACATCTTGGACTACAAGGTGCAAAGGGCATATTAAGAATGACTGAGCTGGGATGTCACGTGGGAAATTACGTTCATTACAATGGTAGCATCCACATACACTACCAGGCAGGCCATTCGTGAGGACATGGAACAGAACGGCTCACAGGCAGTTTAAGAAACCAGCGTTTTATGGTTTATTTGATTTTATTGAATTGATTTAAAACATATAGTGAGAAGCAAGGGGAAAGACATAGGGCAGGTTAACATACTTAGAATAGTTTGCAAATAGGACAGTCAGATTACCTGAATCCTTGGTTATTCATTGTTCATATGTGCTGGCTTTCTCTTTCTCTCTGCCTTATTAATCTTCCCACTGATGGTGGGGTTATGAGAACCAGAGTTGATGATGAGTTAAGAGGCTCAGCAGATGGAAGGTACTTAAACCCAGCACCTGCTTGCTATATTGGACAAGCACAGGGCCACTTGCATAGCTCCCCAATGAAGTTCTGAGCAGCTGTGCCTTTTATGTTCATGTCACTGTCACAGAGTAAATGGAATCAAAATGAGCAGCACCAATGGGTGGTCCATTTAGGCTGTCTAAATATTTGGTACCTCACAGATATCTGGCACTTCTTAATTCTTTTGTCTCTTCCTATGTCGGTGAGTCTCTGTGTGATTTTCTCTATGTCAGTCATGTCTCATAAGTTACTAACTTACCATCTATATTGAACACAGCTTTTAAATTTGCCTACATGTCACATGCTCCTTGTTACCTATTTAAAACTTACGTGTTTCCTACTTATGAAATTCCTACTTAGCATTCCCTATGAGTTTCATCTATCCCATTTGGTGGTAGTATTGTTTTGGTTCTCGTTAGCAGAATTCAATAGCACAGTATATTTGAGAATATATTCTCAAATAATACAGCAAACACATAATACTCATAGAAGGAGTTGAGCTCCCTAAGGATAGAGGAACTCCCTTTCTAGGCCTGAGCTATATACTTTTATATGAAAGAGAAAGAGACTTCTATTTTAAAATAATCTTCAGTGATTATTTTAGGTTGTCTGTCACTTTCAGTTTATTAACACAATTCAGATGCACACCGAAGGAACCTTATCTTACTAAAAAAAAATCCATGAAAGGAATAATGAACAAGGTTTGAAATTATAGTATTCCTTTCTACTTTTCAGTAAGATACTGCCATTTTAGTATATAGCACTGCACTAGGAGTTCCACAAAATTCTTGATAAGAAATGGCCAGATGAGAGTATAAATATGTGGCTCCTGTTCTAAACTACAGCCCATCAATACAGATTTGAACTCTGCCCATTTTTGTGACTCATTCTCTTGCTCTCTCTTTCTATCAACACACATATCCACATGTACACACCCAATTTTGGGAAATAGACTCAGCTAAAGTCTTTTTTTTCCTCCTTTCCCCTTCTGTTCTTAAATTCATTTGGCCAACCCACAGAGAAATTTTCTGTCTGTCCCAAAAAGGCAAGCAGCAATTCAATGTAAAATCCATCCTCGTGTCTCTTCTTTCCTTGCCATCTCTCCTGCCCCACCCTCCCTCCAGAATTTTCTCCAGGGAACTTGAAATTCTTCAAGATTAAGTCAATTCAGATTTTGGCAATGCTGTACTCCCAAACTCAGGCTTCCCTCTTGTTTGTGAGATGACTGTTTAAGTATCTGTCTTAGACTGTGAGCCCTGTGAAGACAGAGATAGTTTTCGATCTTGCTCACCACACTTTCCTAGGTACTGATCACTTTAAGCAATTTAACAGGCTCTCAATAAATGAGTGAATAAAAACAAATAAATAATAAACAATAACTAACACCGAGTCCTAGACCATCAAATCAACACTTCCATTCAGTAAAGCATTAAGAATTATTCAACAGAGAAATGCCCAGGGGGGAAACTGCACATGTGACATAGTTAAGCGGACAGTGATATAAAGGCTCTAATATTACAGACAACCTGTCATGTACACGCCAATTAATCTCTCACATGGTGTTTTGAAAATCTATAACTGAAATTGTATTTTTTTGATAATCCTTTCAGTCTCTTCAAGAGAAAGACTACCCAAGATTGGTTTTGTTGGCTACTGCCAACCACATTACCCAAGAATAAAAAGAAGCCACATTGTTCACAGGCTATCTAGTTTCTTCTTCCCCTCACAAATCCCATTCAAACTTTCTTCAAAGATAATGCCTAAAACTTTTTTTCATAGGTCCATTATTTTCCCTCCTATAGTCTGCTTCCCAATCCTTTCAATCTACAGTTAAATTCTCATCTTATCAGAATAGTGTTCACATGTTGTATTCCACTAGACAGTTAACTTATGAAAACATACCTTTTGTGCTAATATTCAATTATGCTTTCTAAGAGCCTAAATATAAAGAATACTCAATATATATCCTAAAAACTCAAGTTTCCTACTTCCAAAACCCTGGGGAAAAACTCTGCTTAAGATTAATCACGCTTTTCTATAAATTGAAGCACTGTTTAATACTCCTTTGATTCCCACTTTACTTTTACATCGTTCAACTATTGGAAGACGTTAACTGAACGCAGTGAGGGTTATGTAGGGAAGAAGGTGGGTACAGAAAAACGTGAATTTTCCATTTGGTGTCATGGCTCTTCTTTGAATCTGTGTGGCTCTGAAAAGAGCCTTTGGGTTTGACAGTACCTACATAAACATTTACTTTGAACTTGTGTACTTGGTGACGGCCTTGGTGCCCTCGGACACGGCGTGCTTGGCCAGCTCCCCGGGCAGCAGCAGACGCACGGCCGTCTGGATCTCCCTGGACGTGATGGTCGAGCGCTTGTTGTAATGCGCCAGGCGAGACGCCTCGCCTGCGATGCGCTCAAAGATGTCGTTGACGAACGAGTTCATGATGCCCATGGCCTTGGACGAGATGCCGGTGTCGGGGTGGACCTGCTTCAGCACCTTGTACACGTAGACGGAGTAGCTCTCTTTACGGCTGCGCTTGCGCTTCTTGCCATCCTTCTTCTGTGCTTTGGTCACCGCCTTCTTGGAGCCCTTCTTTGGGGCCGGCGCAGATTTGGCTGGTTCGGGCATGACAGCTTTCCCTTAAATGTGACACTGGAGAGTGAAGACTGACCGTTAAACTGGTCTATTTTTGTAGCGCTTCTATGCAAATAAGACCTTAGTTTTGTTCAATCTCTGATTGGAGGAAAACAGTGATTACGAACTGTTTATGCAAATAAGATGAATTCCTGTCTACTTTTTGATTGGCTGTGTACGTGGAACCTATCCTAGGTTCTTTTTTCCATTTAAAAAAAGGGTACTTTTCATTTTGAAAACAGTTAAAAAATTAAATTACTGTTTTGCCAATAGTATCTAGTTATGAAAAAAGTATTTTCTACTCTCACCCTATCCGGACCTAAACAAGGTGAAAAGTGCTATGAAGTAATGACTGTACTTTCCCGCCAAGGTGCAGTATCAGGTGCTTTTAAAATTATCCTTGAAGAATTAATTATACAGAACAGAGAATATAAAAATTAGCGAAATATTCAAATATTTTCAAAATTATGTCATTGGCATTCATAGTTTGGTCTGATCAGAGTCAGCAGCATTCTTACACATTCAGACATTTTCAAGAATCAAAGTATCGTCATATTACAACAGGGATGCCTTTTTACTGTTCGGAGGTATGAAAGAGGGCGGACGTGTACTTACGTTGTTAAAATATTTTTTTAAAGGCTAGCTTTCAAGGATAAGGAAGCCCTTGTGGTGCAGTGTTTAAGCGCTCGACTGCTAACCTAAAGATCGGAGGTTCGAACCCACGAGCCCCTCTTCCGGAGAACGATGTGGCAGTGGGCTTCGTAAAGACTTACATCCTTGGAAACCCAATCGAGCAGTTCTATTCTTTCCTATAGGATCGCTATGAGTCGGAATCGACTCCACGGCAACGGTTTCGTTTTTGTTTTTTTCAAGGATAAAGGATGAAACTGCACCAGTCATGTTCAAGCGCGGGCTTTTGAAATGGCAGAGAGGTTTACATTCTCGGGCTCGAGAACTGCAGAAAATTCATTTTCGTCTCTTTCCAGGCATCTTTTCCGCCTAAAGTAAATAGCAAGTGGATTAAAAGAAAATCAGCTAGGGTGTACGTACCTTCCACAAAATTTTCTAGAGTGAAACCTGGTAGCCAATCACAAGGCCTGTCAAGTTACTTAATGCAAGGCGCGCAGTTTGAATATTCGGGCCAATCAGGAGGACCTTGCCTTTATAAATAAGAGCAAGAGATGTTGCTATCTCTATTGCCGTGAGGTGTACTCACTCAGCACTCTCCATGGCTCGTACCAAGCAGACAGCTCGCAAGTCCACCGGCGGTAAGGCGCCACGCAAGCAGCTCGCCACCAAGGCGGCCCGCAAGAGCGCGCCGGCCACTGGTGGCGTGAAGAAGCCGCATCGTTACCGGCCCGGCACCGTGGCGCTGCGGGAGATCCGGCGCTACCAGAAGTCCACTGAGCTTCTGATTCGCAAGCTGCCGTTCCAGCGGCTGGTGCGCGAGATCGCGCAGGACTTCAAGACCGACCTGCGCTTCCAGAGCTCGGCCGTGATGGCGTTGCAGGAGGCGTGCGAGGCCTATCTGGTGGGGCTCTTTGAGGACACCAACCTGTGCGCCATCCACGCCAAGCGTGTTACCATCATGCCCAAGGATATTCAGCTGGCCCGCCGTATCCGCGGGGAGAGGGCATAAATGGTCTTCCCAAGTGAGTGCTGACTTTGAACCCAAAGGCTCTTTTCAGAGCCAACCATCTTTTCTGCGAAAGATACTGTGACAAATAGCCTCATTAATACCATGAAAACAAACTTGAGGCGCTGAATCGGGTCTTTTTGGCAGTCCATTTGAATTTAGCTCTCTAGAAAATCTGTGTAGCTATGGAAACCAAGAGGTTATTAAAACCAGCTTGTATGGAACTTCTTAGGCCCTGCTTTTTGACCCGGTAGCATTGTGTTCCTCAGCTCTGAGAGAATCTTGAATCAATCCTATTTTTAGAGACGCCTACAATTATAAAAGCTGTACCGCTGATAACGAAGCGTTTACTCAAGAGTCTAGGTGGGATGGCTTGCTTGAAGCAGCTCTTGGCGTCTGCCACCTTCTCTCTACCTGGCCCTGTTCTGGAAGCTACCCAGTCACTGTCGCCACTGAAGCATAACTACCTACTTTCCCTGTCTCCCATGTTGGTTGACTATGGTGTCTTAATGTGTTTTCGGTGAAAGTTTACACAGCAAATTAGGTACCCATTTAACAATTTCTATACATATTGTTCAGTTATAGTGGTTACATTTTTCACAATATATCACTTTCATTTAGATTCTGGTTGTTCCTAGCGAAATCTGAAATTCAGCAAAGTCACAGTGAAGATGCCTGAGAAGTAGTAGTTATCTTCTGAAGGAGAACAGCTCAGTCTAGCAGTTCAAGGAACAAATCTAAATGTTTTAAATCACATACCGAGCAACTTAATGTTGAATTTGGTGGAAAAAATTTAAAAGATCAGGTCACTCAACTCCAGAAAGACCACTGACTATAACGTTACTAACATCATCAGCTCCTAATAATAACCCCGATTCTGGTCCCTTCAATGGCAAGTAATCCTATTGGTTTAAGTATTCATGGAGGGCTTGCAGGTTTGAGTAGCTTGGATTTGAATATATCCAGTTTCTGAGCTGTGGAGTCAAGTGTAATGGCGATTTATGTGAAACCCTAAAATACTGGTCCTGTACATGGAAAATCTCTGCTCAGAGCATGCTCTCAAATCCTACTCTAATGAAGCAGTTTATTATGGGCAGATCACAAATGCAGTAGTTGGCATAAAATCAGAAATTAATCATATGTTGATAATCCAGATGTAATGAGACTGGAACTTGTCCGGAATCCAGTAATGCAGGAAATGATGAGAAGAAAGACGTACCCTTAAGCAACTGGAAAAACTCTTGAGGGGACACAATGCTTTAGGCCACGCACATTGATACTCAAGAACCACACTGAGTGCTGCTGGAAAGCAGACTGATGGTTAGTTAATACATTTGCTTTCTCACTGAGCAGTACTTCTTCAGGTGAAGGTACAGAAAATAGAGACGTTACATGATCCATGGATTTCACAGGTGTCCCAGAGTTTGTTAACTTCCAGGGTACCACTAGCAGTGTCCATGGCACTAGTAGTTGTGCTGCCAGTGGTACAACCGGACAGAGCACTAACTATGGCAAATGTGGGGCCTGGAGGAGGAGCTAGTATGTTTCAGCATACCAGGAATTTAGAGCTGGTTGCAGCAAATAACTGAAAACTCACACTTTGTGCAGACCATGTATGCACCCTACATGAGAAGTGTTCTGTATGGTTCTATAATTGCTGTCAAATTCCATAAGCTATAAGCCACTATTACACTTTCAAAATACATATGTATAATCACTCACAATATGAATTTAGAAATAGAAATATGTCTATCTTTGTGAGGTTCTCTGAGCTTAATTATAAGCCATTAGAAACCTCTAAGTCATGAGAAAGTTATTTTGAAAAATTGTGAACTTAGATATAGAAGCATGTGAAGTATGTAAACAATGTAAACAGACTTTAACTTGACTTTGGCCTGACATGCTGTGATAAAGAAGACAGTTAATCTTTGTAAAGCATTGAGACATAAGTCTAAACAACCACCCTGATCTCTAACCTTGAAGAAAAGATGGGTCACTTGGCTCATCTCTAATCACGGAGAAAAGACATAACATACTAGTCTTTTACGTCACACTGGCTCTTATTGTGTGAGTTCAAGGTGAGAATATCACATATAAACCCTGAATTTCCGCTCACTTAAGGAGAGAAGGCAGAGGCAAAGGGATTTTTCTCTACTCTCCTATTCTCTCAGAAGACGGAGAGCCTGCTGAGAAGGTGCCCGCTGCCACCGACCTCTGGACCCTAGCTACGAGGGACCTCTATTGAGTTTGAGTGTGCCTGCTTAGGTCTTCCTCTTAAGACCTCTCATTAAAGGTAAAAGGCTTAAGTATAAAGATTTGGATTCTAATCGTTGAACTAACATTGCAATTGTTAATTCTGATTCTACAGTTCTAAACTAATGTTGTGAGGTCCTGCTTACATACACCTTGCCATGACTACCTTGCAATAAACTAAACAAGCTTATTATGCATGATAAACTTGAGTATTTCTCTATTAATTTTCTAAAATAAAACCCTACACAATAAGAAGCATCATGTGGTCATTAAAGCAGAACCCATACCTTGTTGCACAGATGATACTAAATAATTCCCTATTTGCTAGAAATCCTCAGCTGCAAGGACAAAAGAGACAACAGTTTCCAACTTACTTTGACAAATGCAAATCTCTAAAACACACCCTAAAGCAGTGCAGTCTTTGTAGATTTAGAAAGGTTTAACAGATATTAGCTGGAAGGTCCCAGCCTCATCTTGGCCAAAGGTGTTTAGGAAACACTGGAGATGCGTCAGGAACCAAGCCTACAGCTCTGCATGTAGTGGAAGAACAAGCCTAAAGGCAGGAACCAAAGAACTTGGACACTAGCAAATACTGTATGTTGAAGTAAATCCTCAACCACAGAATTTAGACGTCAGATTTTAGCAAAACTGGAACAGCTTGGTACAATGAGATTATTGAACCTTGAAGCAAACTTCCAAGCACTAATAACAACACAAGGTGTTTTCATGTAACCATCGAAAGGTTATTGGACTCTCAGCCCTCAAAATAGCATTTCTGTATCTTAAAAATATATATATATATTATTTTAATATAATATATATTATTTTAAAATGGAATGGTACAAATACAAAGCAAAACAAAACCAAAACTGGGGAAAGACAAAAGAAAACAGAAACACTGAACATGAAAGTTCGTAGCAGCTGTGTTTGTAGTAGCCCCAAACTGAAAACAACCTACTGTCTGAATTCCTAGAAAACACAAAAAACCAGTCTTTGCCATTGAGTCAATTCCGACTCATGGTGACCTCATGTGTTACAGAGTAGAACTGCTCCATAGGGTTTTCTTGGCTGTATTCTTTTTTCTGTAGAAGGAGCCCTGGTGGTGCAATGTTTAACAGCTCACAGTTCGAATCCATCAGCCACTGCTAGGCAGCCCTATGGGGCAGTTCTACTCTCTCCTATAGTGTCTCTATGAGTCAGAAGCCCCTCAACCGCAACATGTTTTGTTTTGTTTTTTTAATAAAAAAAAGAGTGGAGAGTATGTGGGTCTTTTGTGCTCTGTTTATGATTTATTTATGTGAAAGTTTCCCTAAAAGATATTTTCCAAGATTGTCTTAGCTATTGTTTTTATACTTCAGGACCCAGTTGCTGTGTCCTTATGAGTCCAGCTCCAGCTGGGTCACATTCTTTATACTCAAGGACAGGGAATAATGCTTCTAATTTTATCTCCTAAATTAACATTCAGTTGTATTCTAGGGATATCATCTCTTCCTAATGTTTCCATGTAACCAGATCAGCAAATATTTTTTGTAATTTAAAAATCCAGAATGATTGCTACTTTATTTTTGGAACTTGTTCAGAATCCCTTTGCATAGCATTAGAGTTTATGAGAATTTTGCTTGAGTTCCATGGACCAATCCCAGGAGGGGACAACCTCCTCTCCCAGGGTCCTCCATATAAAAAGGGGAAGAGAGAATGAGTGCCTGGCAATTTATGTCCCTTTTCCCTGCAATGCATCACTGATTAAATATATAATGCTTAACCAAAAAACCAAGCCAAACTCATTGGCGTGGAATCGATACTGGTGTTATTTTGGAAATGTCCCAAAATAATTTCATATGTTTAGTTCTGTCTATATTTTGTTTGTAAGAATAGAGTATGAGACAATAGGAATTTAATCACCAACTAGAGGTCAGCTATTTTGCTTACGATTACTCAGTTATCAACCAATACTTATCCATTTTAGGGATAAAGCCACTGAAATTCACATAGATTTACAAACATGCCCAAAATCATAGGTTGAGAGCAGCCGCTCACGGATTCCAAACCCAAAGCCTACCTTCTTCCACTTTGCTGGGTTGCTTGGCAATATAACTATTAATTTGTTTCTTGGAATTTGGGCTTGTTTCTTGAATTCCAGTATGGCAAAATGATGCAAGAATATATATGGAATGAGTGAAGGAATCTTTAAACACACACATACACACAGAAACGAAGTACTGTCCTTGGTGTATATGTTGTTTGACACTTCTGTTTAAAGATTCGTATTTTTTAAATACCAGTAAATCTCTCTACTCCATTTTTATTTTATGCCTTGTGTGTGTTGCAATGCATTCGAAGCCAACCGAGTTGTGAATAGTAGAAGCAGGGGGCGGGGACTCAATGCAGTTTCCCGCCGTTTCCGTCCTTTCAGTTCTCAAAAAGGTCCGCTCAGTTGACTTATATGTGCTGTGGCAGATCTTTGGTTTACTCAACCTCTGCAGACGTTTTCGCTAATTATGTCTGGTCGCGGTAAGGGAGGGAAGGGTCTGGGAAAAGGGGGCGCCAAGCGCCACCGGAAGGTCTTGCGTGACAACATCCAGGGCATCACCAAGCCCGCCATTCGGCGTTTAGCTCGGCGTGGCGGTGTCAAGCGCATCTCCGGTCTCATCTACGAGGAGACCCGTGGGGTGCTCAAGGTCTTCCTGGAGAATGTGATCCGCGACGCCGTCACCTACACCGAGCACGCAAAGCGCAAGACGGTTACGGCCATGGATGTGGTCTACGCGCTCAAGCGCCAAGGGCGCACCCTCTACGGCTTCGGCGGTTAAGCCTGCGCTCTCCAGCTAATTTTCTGTAGCAACGCATACGGCCCTTTTCAGGGCCACCTTTCATTTTCCTGTAAAGAGGTTGCACTTAATTTGCCCAGAGAGACTACAATGCCTCTTCAAGTGCTGCTACGTGGAGGGGTACATGGGAACGTGAGGAAAACTAGTAGTACAAATTTAACACGGAAGCCTTGGTGGCATAGTGGGTAAGTGCTATGGCTGCTAACTAAAGGTCACCAGTTCGAATCCACCAGGCGCTCTTTAGAAACTATGGGGGTAGTTCTACCCTCTTAAAGGGTCGCTATGAGTCGGAACCGACTTGACGGCAAGTGTACTACTACTTAACACAGTTTAGTGTTTAGCTTATTCTTCATAACAGCTGCCTTGAGTAGGTGGAACAAATATATATTTAGATAATGTGCTGAAGAGACACAGTTAATACAAGTAGGACCTTTTGGCTTCCTGGCGTCTGACAATGCAAATCTCAGCAGCTATACTGCTTTAAGGCAACTATTTCATCTATATCAAAGTAAGGTATTGTTGGATCTGCTTAAAAAAAATTTTTTTCCCCAAAGTTGTGTTTTGAAGTGGTGTGGGGATCCCAACCATATTACAACCGACCTTTTTCATTAATCAACTCGATTAGATAACAGAATAACTAAATTAGCGTAAGCCTTGGCATACTCCATTCTGATGATACTTTTTTTTTTTAAATACAATTTACACATGACATTAAACACTTTCAACAAGTCGAGTTGATGGTTAAAAAATTAGAAAATCATTCTGCAAACCTCAGCGACACAACTGATTCAGGTAAGGATTATTGATGAATGTTAAAATCTTTAGGAGAAAAACTGTTGGGGAACAGTATATTTAAAAGGTGCCAAAGTATCCCCAGACATTATCTATTTGCAAAGGGAAAAACATATCTACAATGAAGTGATCTGCCCCCATGTTAGGTAAGTGATGTACTTCAGCAGAACTAAACGTAAATCGACTTCACATTCTGTGCCTCCCTGTGTGATGCATTATGAGTACAGAACATCACTTCTGACAGGTATAACTGGAATCTAATCATGACTAAATCTGTTTATAGAGAGTACAGGGTATAAAGAAGTCAGTTAAACACCACTAGGGGGGAGGGGGAGAATCAGAACCAAGAATGTGAGACGTTCTGTGGAACAACTGGCTTGGTTTCTTCAAAAAGTCCTTGCATTAAAACATAAATAAATAAATAAAAGTTGGGGTATCGGGACAATCACATACACTTGCTCTATTAAAGAGATGCAGAGGTCAACATTTGTAGCTCACCAATGGATTTTATCTTCATGTCATGGACAAAGGGGAAGTGAATGGCTGTTTTAAGACATCATAAATATTAGATGCCTTGGAAATACTAGGAGGCTTGGTGGCACAGTGGTTAAGAGTTATGGCTGCTAACCAAAAGGTCGGCAGTTTGATCCACCAGCCGCTCCTTGGGAACCCTATGGGGCAGTTCTACTCTGTCCAATAGGGTCGCTATGAGTCAGAATCAACAGCAACGGGTTTAGTTTTTTTGGTTATGAATACTAGGTACTTCATATGTGTCATGAATATTTGGGGTCTATTTGGTTCTTCTGTATTCTCTAGGTGGCACAAACAGTTAAACACTTGACTACTAACCAAAAGGTTGGCAATTTGGACCCACCTAGAGGTGCCTCGGAAAAAGGTGTGGTGATCTACTTCGAAAAATACACGTTGAAAACCCTATGGAATATAGTTCTACTCTGGCTCACATGGGGTCTCCATGAGTAGGAATCGATGCCACAATTGGGGAAATTTTTTTTTTTAACTTTTTTCCATCCCCTCCTCTCTATGTTCACCACAAATCTTTTCACCCCTATTATTTGCATCTAACTTGTCTTACAAGTTACTTGTTAATTTACTATGTATACTAAGTATCTCTTATAGAACTGAATAATAATAATAGTTGCCATTGAGTCAGTTCTGATTTATAGAGATCCCATGTATTTCAGACTAGAACTGTGAATACTCTTCAATAATACAGCTAATCCCTTTTTACATCTTTCTCCTTTACACTCACTCTCCCCTGGTTTTTCCTCAGCTAAATAGGGCCCAGCTCCCATATGACCTCCTTCCTCAAATTCTCATAGTTCTGTCTCCATTAAATGGCTCTAACAATGAAATTTCTCACCATTAGTGTTCCTGCTTGAATCCTTCTGTCTTGTATTATTTTCTAATTGTTTGTGTTTAACTTGGCTTAACCAAGTTACCAATTATTGGAAGTCAGGACTATGTTTTCTTCTTTACTTTTCCAGCACCTGTACTGAATACTCAAGAACATTCCAAGTGTTTGGTGCCAGGCCACCCACTTCCCCTCTGCCTATGGCAGAATGGTAAGGAGTATTCACAGTTCTACCAGTGGAGAAAATCACAATCTTATGTGGCCTTTGAACAGTGTTGGGAGAGGCAGTCTGCTATGGGCCCTCAGGTTCCCTGCATATTCTTACCGGGTATGTTTAGAATGCAAGGCCCTGGAAGCTCTTTACCTGGGTCATTTATCAGAATTGTGTTTGCAGTGAGCAACCTTAAGGGATGAGGTATAACTTCCCCCAGACAAAGAGCGGGTTTGCTTACCATACTCAGTTTAAGCAGTAAATCCCCAAGCTCGCCGTTCCATAGCTGTGATGTAAACCCACTAGGTGTGCAGCACCCACCTGGGCCCCTCCATTCTGCGGGACACAGGGGGAAAGGGGAACCAATGCAAACATGTTGCTTGCTGCTTTGGGATTAATAAAGTCCCCTGTCTCCTAGGGATCTTTTGTCTTCCGCCGGTATCCATGAAAGAGTAACAGGCTAATTTATTACCTTTCAAGTAGGGTAAAATTCTAGACTCTTCACAGGCCCTGACACACAGAGGATATGGCAAGGAGAGAGGCCAGAATTGTATTCCAGGCAGACCCTCACTAGCTGTCTGCCCCTCCTGGTGGCTCTATCAGGCCCACAAAGAGTAGTAGGCTTTGCAGCCTCAGAGTCTCTTTGTTTTGTTCAGTCTCTTGGGGACTGAATTCATCTTAACTCATATTCCAAGTAATAATTTGTAAGTAAGAATGCTAATGAATTAAAAGTAAAATTAATGTTATATCTAGAACGGTGGACTCAGAGAGCTAAAAACTTCATAGACTTTTATAAGAACCATTTACAGAGATTAAGTGACTCATCTAAGGTCATTTACTAATGCTACATTGTAAGTGGGAGAAATTTAGACATTTCTAGCAAGAAAATTCAAAACCTTGCTATAGAACTGGCCTGGTGCTACTGTCACAACTGCCATTGTTGAGCCAGAACTTGACCCACTGGGAAACTCAGGCCATTGCCACTACTGAAGTTGGGACGCTTCAGACATCCCCTATCCCTGCAAAAGGGGAAGCTCCAATCAGTCTCTGCTCTCCTGTTTTCTACTTTGAAGAGAAGTCTCTTAGAGACGTGACTGATTGGTGAAGCCTAGGCCACATACCTACATTCTAACTTCAAAGGGAGACTGAGAACTGGAGTTCTGAAGTCTAGGTAAGGCTGAGCTCATAACCTGGAAATTTCACAAAATACAGGAAGGAAATAAATAGGCCAGTGTTTTTCAAACTATTTTCCCTCTTAAGTTTTACAGTAAAGTTCTTTCTTTGCATGCCATAGTTGGGGTGGGGGGGCAGAGATACTGTTAAATGGGAGTGATTTGCATAAAATTATATTAATAGGCCAGGTATCTTGTTCAATTCACTTATTCATTCAGTCATTATACAAATATTTGAGTGAATAATACGTGCTATGTAATTTTGGTAGGTTCTGAGGTTACTAAAATGTATATTTGTTCAAGCTCCCAAGAAGTTTATACTCTAGAGAGAAAAACATGCATTACTTATCACAAACAATTGTTTAAGTGTGCACTAACTCCTAAGTCATACAGGGAACTCTGAAGTTGGGTTATGTGCATCTGTGGAGTGTGCTTTGTGAAGTGTCAGGAAATACTAGCTACAGATTATGCCTGGGACATTTGGGTAAAGTTCTCTTGAAGGAAACCCTTGAAGGAGGAAAAGGAGTTAGAGATTATTTGTGGAAGAAAGAAAAAAGTATGTAAAGGATTACACCAATTGCCATCGAGCTGATTCCGACTCCTATCCTAGCGATCTTGTAGGAGAGTAGAACTGCTCCATAGGGTTTCAAAGGCCGTAAATCCTTAAGCAGACTGTCACATCTTTCTCCTATGGAGCTGCTGGGTTTGAACTGCCCACCTTTCAGTTAGCAGCTGAGCGCCTAACCACTGCACCACCAGGGCGCCTATGTAAAGGATTACTTTTGACAAAAAGTGTTGCAAGTATGACAAATTGTTTAATACATTCGGCTGTAAAAATGCTTGTTGGATTAAAGGGGCTTGGAGATGAGGTTGTGGAGGTGGGCAGGTGTTGGATAAAGCAAAGGAAGTGGGATTTTTGTGGTATTTTATTCTGCAGATGTTAGGAGAATCAGTGAAGTCATTTTTAGTTTTATCTGATTTTACATAGATGGGATCATGAAATTTGCAAGTCATTCAGATATGATTGCAATAGGACGGAATGATCACAGGGTGGGGAAGAATGCAGGCAGAGATGTCAGGAATATCACCTTGGAGGATTTAGACAAAACCTTAAAATGCTTTTTTTACACTTTAAGTTTACCAGCGATTGATTCATCCTTTCACAGCTAACCACAATACAACGTAAATTACCGCTATGGCTTTCCTGTAGGAGGCAGGCTGGGTTTAAAGCTCTATAGGACACCAGGTAGCTGGCTGTAAATATATTAAGGTGAAGGAGGGGAGTTAATTACAATATCCTTAGGAAAGTGAAATTGATAACAAGGTGTTCGGGAAACGGCTACATTCCAAAAGCTTTTTCCTTCAACTGTTAACAAATCTAGCAGTTCACTTACGTCACTTAAGATTATATTTCTTTGTTCTGCTGAGCTCACTGATAGCCGCCATCTTAGCAGGTGACCACTGACGTTTAATGAAATTGTATACCCCACCCGTCGTTAGCAAGCAAAACGGACTTAGGAGACGAACACGCTAGCGTGAAAATACCAGCAACTGTTACCTGGTGATTTTTGATTGTAGCTCATAGCCCTTTGTGTGAATCAGTGGGTGGCCCTGAAAAGGGCCTTTGGATAAGTGTTGGAGGTGAAGAACCCAGGCTGGAACGAAGATTAGCCCCCAAAGCCGTAGAGAGTGCGCCCCTGGCGCTTGAGGGCGTAGACCACGTCCATGGCCGTGACCGTCTTGCGCTTTGCGTGCTCGGTGTAGGTGACGGCGTCGCGGATCACATTCTCCAGGAAGACCTTGAGCACCCCACGGGTCTCCTCGTAGATGAGACCGGAGATGCGCTTGACACCGCCACGCCGAGCCAG